TGATAACGCACAGAGCAAGCGATCCGATCCGCTTGTAGAGTGAATAAAAGAATTTTATTATCAGGTAAGAGCTGAACTGAACTGAACCAGATGAGCGTACAGCCATATAGACAACTGCAAAGATTTTATGTTGCAGTAGCAGCAGCAAGATTTTTGGAGTTGAAGTAGTGCAAAAACTGGATTTGCTAGAGTAGCTATTGGATAAATATCAATTGTCAATCCTGTCCACAGAAAAATATAGCTTTATGCACCTGTACATATCGCTGTTACTTCAGCTCAAATGTATACTTTTATCTAAGCTTTCATCAATGTTTTCTCAATGATTCAGTCATTTCTATAACTATAATCACAACGCACACTTTTTACTTTGCGTTTGAATCAGAGGCGTGCGATTGCTTGAAGTATTCTAGAATTTGTCGTAGTTTCCCTTTGGAACGAACACCCGACATGTCGTCCCAAAACACATAGAATGTTGCCTAGTTCACATAACGCAGTCAATAATTCAAATCTCAAATGGCGAATCACGAAACATCTTAGGCGAATAAATAGCTGATTCGAAATTCGCTTGAAAATTAGTCGAATTACATTTCAATCTCACAATCAGTAATTTTGCACTTTTCTCCATCTTGCATTGATCTTGTGGAAGAATCAAGTTGCATTTTCAAGTTTCACTTATGGATTTTCTTCTCGTTGTGAAAAATTGTAAGTTCAGCAAAACAGTTCTGGTTGGGCCATCTTACCTTCGGCATTCGTTTGTGAACACAACTCCTTCACCAAGCTCGACCGCTTTAAGAGATTCATCAACGCTGATCTCCTTCAACACCTTCTTCTTCACTTTCGGTAAACGAATTCGCATTACGGGTGCCTCACAAAAACTGAACGTTTTCAGAATGGTCATCACTTTGGCGGTGTTCGATGGCGGATTCCTGAAACGTAAACGAGCATTCCCTCAAATCCGCCGCTTCCATTGGTTATGAGTCGTGAAGGGTGCACTCGAACAGTGAGTTGAAAATTCATTTCGTACATTCCACTAATAAAATATTTGAGAAGTTCGCTAAGTTTTCTCGAATGGTTTACTTTTGTTTGTGGTGGGCTACTCTTTTTAGGTTGTGCTGAAGCAACATTAGTTTGAGATTAATGTTCTACACTGCAGAATTATGAAAGTACCCAATGACATAAGATCCAACAGTGACTCCTTGATTTTTAAGAGATTATATTCTTCAAAGTGGCGAAAAATTTTGAACCTGACCCCCAGTTATATCGTGATAATACGGAAACTGATAATAAAGGCGATCATAACTTAACGAAGGTAGAAAATGAAACTTTTATGACGCGGAAAACTGGTTGCGGTTATAAAAATGTAACATAAACTCTTTGAATCTGTTTTGAATGAATCATTTGTGAATGAATCAATGAATTATTTGTTAAGCAAAGCAACAAAATGGCTCAAAAAACTCCTTTGATGGACACAGTTATTAATAGAAGGGTAAATCTGAAAGATGAACAATAAAACGGAAATTTGTTTAGATTCACCCTGTGCATACAAGATGAACTGTGGTGCTGGCATTGACAATTGGCCTGAAATAAAGTCACTCACACGGTTAAATCATTATTACTTGGTGGCTTAACACTCAATCAACATAGGTCAATTATGATCATTTAGTTGCAGCTGAGTTCGCTCCAATCGCAACTGAGTTCCGTTCATTCGACGATTTTCATTGACGTTGCCATGAAAGGCTACTTCCTTTATGCTCCTTCATGATTGACAAAGTTACATTATTTGACAAAAAATCGCGATGACAATTGTGATTTCCTATGATAGCAGCCACTTTATAAGTAACTGACATAATGAGCATGGACTGNATCGATCTATAGAGCAAACAACTTATTTTTTGTTCTCAAAGAATCTTTTTGATAAGCTATGGAGATGGATTAGTCATTGCTTGAGAAATAAGATTCAAAAAATCTCAACGAGAACTCAATTGCAATTCGATGCAAACCGATTAACAGCGAAAAAAAATTTCTGCTGATGATCACATGTGAAAAATGTGTTTCAAATTTCACAACGAACAAAACAGTTGATAAAAATGAGATTTGCAACCGCTAAATTCTAAATTGTGTGCACAAACACTTCAAAAAAAAAACACAACTGAAATTTCACCCGATTAAACAACTTAAATGTGAAACTTACGGACAGTGCATTAGCTAACAACAAACTACTACTGTGAAACTACTGCAATTGCAAATGGTAACTCAAAGAGAAATTATTCATCTGAACGAAAATGAACGAAAAATTTCAGCGAATAAGCAAAAAGAATGAGAAACTCATTCTGAGCAGTAAATTAAATGAGAGTGAATTGATGGAGTCTTGAAAAATGGACAGTTTGATCGCATACTTTTCGATTGATCTGATTTGACTGATATTCATCTCGTCACACTTAGGACCAATCCACGTGCCCGGAACAGGTGCTTTTCTCAGTTTCTTTCGTTCACCTGCAAATCCAGTTAACTATCAGAAGCCTTCGAATTGGCCTCAAGTTAGGGCCTCCTTCCGTCCGCTTCATTCATTTCGAATCAGTTCGGAAATCTGAATAAGGAATCGAATGTAGAGCTTAATGAGTAACAGGTGATCGATCGGGGAACGATGAATGTAGCATTCGGTGAACTTTAAAATGGATCAAATATCTTCACTGAAATTCTAAATGAAGATTTTGCAATGGAAGTTTGTTAGGTTATGGAAATTGTCCGGTTCAAGCGTTCCACTAACAATAGTCATTCGAACTGCACACACTTATCAGTGTTGCTAGCAGGCATTTTGAAACAGAAACCGAAAATGTTCTCGAGTGTAAGCAAGAGACACCAACTGCTGATGCACACACCAAGCACTCATTACCTCAATAAGATTGATCCAAAGACTCACTCTATCTTTGAGCATATAATCAGTAAATGAGTCAAAATACTGGTCATGTTGAAAAGATGAGGAAAGTGGAACGATTGGCAGTTAGAACGTGAAGATATGGAAAACGAGATGCAGAAAATGCATCATCCATTAAATCATTCAATTAAGAGTGAAAAACATTAGGGTCTGAATTGAAATCAGACGGTAGCAACAAATAAAATCGCAAGATTGAGAAAATCTTTGAAAATCTCTCATTCGATTGATATCCACGTTTAATTCTGTGCAGCGTTGCTGTATGCAGGTAACGACTGACTATTGAGAAGTGCATTTTGCAATGAGCGTTTTGCGCTCAGATAAGATTTGTTGCGTTCGGAAACGAGCTCTTGGCCATAAAAATTGATGGTGTTCAATGAAAAATGTTATTTGGAAACGATTTTCGTCGTCAAAGCCTTGCAAGTCTCTAAATGAATAATACTCACAATTCGCACTATTATGTTCTTCAGTTGAGTGGTTCTAATTGTGGATTATAAAGTCATTAGTCACTGATCCAATCCTATTAAGCACGGCATGAGAGTATTCGAACACAAACTATACATCCCGACATATTGCTCTGATAGGCAGCCATATCATTAGATGTTTCGAAATGCACCAGCTATTTGCTAATGAATCATATCGTTGCTCATATATTCCCACTGATTTAAGCTATCGAAATTTTTTTCAGCGCTTCTCTCATTCCCACAAATTACACTGTTTTTGTTTCAAATTATCTTTCCTAATCAATCACTGATTTTTCATTTGCATATTACAAAAAACATTAAAGCAAACGAGGAAAATGCAAAATCATTTCTTTTTTTCTCTGTATGTTTATGCGAAGGATGCAATTATCTAGCAGAGAGCATTATTAGGTTTGGCACTCCTTTGATCTATTGATATGAAATGATCTCAGACTTACTGAAGCACACAAAACGACCTGAGAATTCCCGAGTGAAACTCTCAGTGAGGCGCATTGAAATGAGCCAAGAATCGACGAAGATAGATTTCATGAATTGATTAAATATCATTCGAGAATTTTTTGATATCTCCGAAATCTTAGTTCAATTCATGCACCAGACGACTAATAATTTGCTCATGTCAAGGAATCTAAGAACGAAAAAACTTCAGATGGGCATTCTTCACCACTGATATGGCACGGCAATTGCCCTGACGATGGGATGAGAATAGAATTGGTCAAACAAAGGTGTTCACCTGGATGAAAGCAAGCTATTGCCGAATATTCCTCTCGATCACTCTTAACTTCGGTCGCATCACCCTTATCGCCCCCAGCCGGTTGTTCTCTCTCTTCCGAGGGTTTCGCTTCTTTTAATGGTTCAACTTTTGGTGAAACACTACGATCAGTGGCTTTCTGGAATGCATCAGATGGGTTTTCAAACGCTTCAGAGGGCTGCTGTGCTTGTCGCACATTCGCACATTCCACTACAGTTTCATTTGCCTCAGCTTTCAGCTCAGTTGCACTTGCAGATAACTTCTGAACTTGTTCAGCTCCATCTTTGCTGCCCTCGTTCTCGGTTGACTCGCTCTTGGGTGCGATCGATTCTTGTCCAGGAATCTCTTCAACGCCTTCTGAAACCGTATCATTCATGGGAATATCGCAGAAAACATTGACGAAAGAATGTCATACATTCAGAGACAACGATAACAATATGAACAGTGCTGATACTTCTATATCATATGAAAAAGAACACATTCTCAAAAAACCTTTTTCGTTCTTACTGCCTTTCAATCCCATTTCATCCGTGCCAATTTCTTCTACTTCTTCTTTCACACTTTGTGTTTCTTCAATCCGTTCGGAAACTACTTCCTTGTCAGGCTCTGAATCGCTCGCGATACTGTTTTCATCCTCTGAAACGTTTGAATACAAATAATACGAAACCAGAGGTTTGCAATTGCCACTATTGGGAACCTGTATGATCTTTAGTGTACTATAAACGATGAGTTTATGAGAAGCGAATAAAATCATGACATTGCCCGTTCGATTGCGACAAATAAGCAGATAGCAGCAGCAGCAGCAGCAGCAGCAGCAG